CACACACACACACACACACACACACACACACAAACACACACACACACATAAAAAAACACGCGCGCACACACGCGCGTACGCGCACCGTCTGCTCTCGTGTTTATTAACAGCATAGCACATTCCCTGGCGACGGCACTTGTGTGCATCAATCGACGCAATCGGTGTGCAGAGCAGATCACGTCTCTGCTTACCTCGTTCCAACCCTCCGCTAATCAAGTAAACAGTAGTTTCTGTGCGCTTTTTCCTACAGGCTTGAGACCTGTCGACGCTGGCGTGTCTTAGGCACAGTAACTCGGAACTGGGGGCGTATCCTTTCTTCAAACTGCTTCCTAAGTTACGACGTCGCGTCCATCGTGAGAAATCTACTCATATATTACATGCTATAAATTTATACGACATTAGAATACCATTACACGTGTTTCCTACACTATAGTAGCCGATTTATTTCTGTTTACATCTTTCTATACCCGGTATACTCTTCTGCATATGTATAGAGTTACTTTGGAATAGAATAACACGAACTAACATCATTTATCTTTTACGTTGCTTAATCCGCGAAGTAGGTATTACGCCGTTCTTTCATCTTTATAAGCCTGCCTGCACGGCAGACTGAAGCTTTGCCGTAATACAATATTGTCTCATTACGGCCGGGGAGTGCAATTGCTATACCTGTGGCGTCCTTGTTAACTACAATTATTACGCATTACATATAGAGCGCCTGTACTGCGCGCAGCATTGTATTGCACATGCCTATGTACTTAGTCCACCCTGGTATTGCATATACCTAAGAGCTGCGTGTATCTGTATAGGACCTATGCACGGGCACCGGTTAACTAGACCCACCCACCAACTCGGCACTGTGCATTACGTATACACATGTACCACGTGTACCCATGTGCTGCGTTCACCCGTGTATTGTGTGCACCCATGTATTGTGTATTTTCATGAACTGTGTGTACCCATGCACTGTATGCACACACGTACTACCTCCGTCTGTCGTTATGTTTAACGTTCAGGATTCAGTTTATATGACGAACAAGCGTGACGGGTATTTTTAATTATAAAACAATATATTGAACTAGCCTAGCTAAACAATTTGGTTACGGTGTAGAAGGCCGTAACATTGCATAATGTTATGGTACGCACGAACAATAGAGACAACGGTACAATTAATAGGGCATGGGTTAGAGAGAGAGAGAGAGAGAGAGAGAGAGAGAGAGAGAGAGAGAGTGAGACAGAGAGAGTGAGAGAGAGA